AAAAAAAGGCAATTTAAATCAAATGGAAAAACTTGAATTATAAAATTATTTATTGAATGATCTTGAATTATAAAATAATTTATCTAGGTCCTAATTATGTCAGTAGTTTCTGACAAACTACTAAATAATCTATCCAGCTTGAGATCATTTTAATTTCTCTTCTCCTAAACTTTTTTATTAATTAAAATTCGTAAATTATCATTGGCGATAATTTAAGCGGTTAAAGGAATTGTTCTTATTTTTAAAGATTATGGGTTCGAACATCAACGGATGCAGTAGGATAATTGAATATTTATTATTAAATAGTTGAGAATATTTATATTTAGAACATTTATTGCTTTGTAATCACCTTAGCTTAATAAAAAATTTACTATCCTTCGGCTTCTGTCGTTTTTCTTATTCTTTCTTCCATGTTTATCTCTTTTTCATTTTTCTAAGATTTTTATTTTATATATCTAATTTTATAGATTTGTAATTCTTATTTTTTTTGTTTTAATATATCATGATGTTTTCAATTTTGTACAAAATTTAGTTTTATCTTTGAAATTTTTAGGGTAAACTATACATATGATCACTTAACTATTGCTTCTATTTTATTTTAACCACCAAATTTTGAATTTTGTCAATTAGATCACTTAACTATATACAAGTCCTTTAGCGGCGTTTATATCCGACAAACACTCCTATATACGAGACCTTTTACGGCGTTTGTATCCAAAAAACGCCGCTATATACCACACCTATTGCGGCGTTTGTATCCGAAAAACGTCGCTAAATATCTTAACCTTTTGAGGTGTTTATAAAAACGCCGCTATATACGTACGCATTTTGCTACGTTTGGGGGAAAACGCCGTTAAATCTCAAGCTAAATCTGAACACCTATTGCGACGTTTTTCCAACAAACGCCACTATATCGCTATACCTATTGCGGCGTTTTTGTTATCAAACGCCGCGAACTTTAGCGACGCTATTTTCCCTAGTGCTTCTTGCGGCGTTTTTTATATTGCCGCAAGCATTTTTTGCGGCGCTTAAAAACGCCATTATAGGTAAAAAAACGCCGCAAATGTACAATTTTGCTATAGTGTAAATGTTCCAATCAAACCATTTTGTCACTAACATATGACGGAGAGCTAAAATGATAGTTAAAACATTAGTATATTTATACATTTGATCCTTATTACTTATAAATTCAATTAATTTAATCATAATTTTAATTTAATAGAATAAAAATAATTATCTTATCAAATAGTGACACATGTTACCACCTGATTAGAGTGGCCTCCAATTCACCCTTGGTACCCAGGTTCGATCCCCCTAGGTAGCATTCCTCCTAAAATAATTTTTCTCTTTCATTTAGAAGGTGTCATGTGTGATATTCTGATTTGATTAAAAATTATTAAATTAATTAGATTAAAATTTTAAAAAAATCTAATTAGGTGATGACACGTATCACTATTTGATTGGCTAATAAAATCTATTGATTAAATTAAAATTATGATTAAATTGATTTAATGTGTAAGTAAATAAGGACCAATTATGTAAATAAACAATTTTTATTAGCTATCATATCTGTTTATTTGTCAAATGTTAATGACAAGTGATTTGGTTAGAACACTTAAATAATTAAGTGATTTAATTGAAAAGATTAAAATGTCAAAATGAATAGAGGCAATAGTTAATTAGTCATCGGTATAGTTTACCCAAATCATTTTTTTATTAATTTGAGGTAAGTATAAGGTAATATTTATTCAAAGATAACTCTCAACCATTTGACATTAAATGCTTACACCTTTGACATTTATAATGCTCAAATCCGATACTTCAAGAAAGATGAATATTTCCCTTGTCACCAAAATCTCTTAATTCGTGCAAATTATTATGTTTAACACGTAAATAATTAAACATTAATCATTCCAAATTTATTTTCTTTTTATAAGCGGACTCTATTCAACCTTCTCGCTAGTCAAGAGGGAAGGAATCATAAGATTTATCTTTTACTTGGTCATGGTCAATCTTTAAAATACATTTAAAATGATAATTCAAATCAACTTCAATACAATAAAATAATTTATTAAATGGACTTGAGTTATAAAATAATTTATCTAGAGTCTGACATATTTTAAAATAATGAATGATAAATCAACTGATTAAATAGCAAGATAAATACTTGTGGATTATGGATAATTAATTTACAAATCGAATAAAAAATCCATTTATTTTGTATTAGATAATATTGGGAAAAAAATTTAATAGTTAATGATAGAGGGAAAAATCCATACGAAAACACTTTGAAGTTTTGTTTATGATCAGGGATGAATTTAGAAATATACTTGTTAAAGGTGAATATAATATTAAAACATATAAAACTTTTGATTAAATAAATATAAATAAAATTTTAAAATATATGATTATTCAATAAATTAAAATTTTAGAGTGAACCGCCACTGCTTATGAAATTATGATTATGGTAATAAAAAATTGCCCTGATGCCGTGGTCGATGAAGATGTTAAGAACACTTCATCTATTTGGATTTGGTCAAAGTAAAAACAAGGAATTTTATAAGAAATTCTGGTGGAAAAATGGAGCAAAGTTTTTTTTTCTCTTTCTAACAATTAGTGTTTTTATCAGTTTCGTCGTTGCTGACTATCACTTTTAAGGTTCCTACGCTTATAAAATGGAAAAGAATTCAATCTTGAATGTAGGCTCGATTGTTAACCAAACCAAACCTTTTTAAGCTAAGATCTCCTGAATTCCCAATCAGAAATGGCAGCCGAGTAAGAATCTTGAACTACCTTCCCAATGCTCAAGTTCAGCTTTTGTGTAACTTCAAAAATAATGTTTCTTGTCTTTGCTTTGTGATTTCAGAAATTTGCCTCCTCCATTGGATGCTACGGCAGTGGAGCCCTCTCTCTTTGATGGAACTACCAGGTTTCACTCTTTCTTCTCTCTATCTTTTTATCTGTTTTTGCTTGTGTTTACTGCTACATAATAAAGTTGACCCTTTTCTCCTTCTTTCCAAGGTTGTACATGACTTACACTTGCCCTTTCGCACAGCGTGTTTGGATCACCAGGAACTATAAGGTTGTCTAATTCCCCTGATTTTATTTGCATTACTCCCCAGTTTTTCATGTGAGTAAGCGTTGTGAATTGGGTTGAGTTGCAGGGTTTGCAAGACAAGATTAAGTTGGTTCCATTGAACCTTCAAAATAGGCCTGCTTGGTACGAGGAGAAAGTCTACTTTGTCAACAAGGTGTGATGTTATCAACATATTATATCCTTTCAAAATGTTGATCCCAAGTAATTATATGTCCAATTATGGTGTTAGTTAATTTCATTTTGCAGGTGCCTTCCTTGGAGCATGATGGCAAAGTGATGGGGGAGAGTATTGATTTGATTAAATATGTTGATACCAACTTTGAAGGCCCTTCTCTTTTGCCTAACGTGAGATCTGTCGAATCGTTTACTGTTCTTAGTAGAGGTTTATCTCTCGTTATCAATGTTAACAAACTCATATTTTGAAATTGTTTCAGGATGCTGACAAGAAGAAGTTTTTTGAGGAGCTGTTATCACACATAGACCAATTTGCAGGGAATGTGTTTACTACCTTTAAAGGAGACTCCACAACTGAAGCTGGTTTGTCTGAATGAAATATGCTTCTGCTTTGTTGATTGTAATGTGTGTTTGTATATAATATGATAAGCAAAATCTAAAACTTTGGACTTGCATCAGGTACTGCCTTTGATCACTTGGAAAATGCTCTTACAAAATATGATGGCCCATTCCTCCTCGGCGACGTGTTTAGTCTGGTAGGTTGGCTCTCAAGTGATGCTAATTTGCTGTTGCTGTTTCTTAACTGTGTTGCAATGTGTTAGAAGACATGTAATCAATAGACTAACTATGGCGAAATCATTCTTTATGGTTCGAGTTTTTCCGCAAAGATGTATGAATGATTTCGTGAATTACAGGCGGACATTGCCTTCATTCCACTGGTTGAAAGATTCCAGATCTACTTATCGGAGGTGTTTAAGTACGACATCACAGAAGGAAGGCCTAAAGTGGCAACATGGATCGAGGTATAATCGAAAGCATATGCATAAACATTACTCGAGCAACAAAAGAATGTTTGCATCAAAAGATGCAGATGGAGAAGGCTTAGATATAGCCAATATATTTCAATTGTTGAGAAATACTTATTATACGCAGGCGGTGAACAAGATCGATGCCTATAAGCAGACAAAGAAAGCTGATCCAAAGGAAATAGTGGCACTTTACAAGATGATGTTCTCGGTATTGTTCTGTTTGTACCCTTAACTAAGATTATTAGTATTTCACCATTAACTATTATTATACCAGAAGTTGCTAATTAATGGAGTGATTTCTTGTTGTTGCAGGCGAAGAAGTGATGAAATTGCCAAAACATCATATGATATATATATATATATATATATATATATATATATACGAGTGTGTGTGACTATCGATGAACTCTCCGCTTGGATTAGAGTGTTTTGTTTTGTGAGTTAAGAATCAGTGTTGTATTAGTGTTTGGTACCTATATGAATAAGTTCGAAGCATGTGATATGATGTAGTGAAATCTTATATATATATATATATATATATATACTATTGCATAAATCAACTTACCTCAGTGATTAAAGAAATCGTTGTTGTTCTTAGAAGTCATAGGATCGAGTACCCGCGACTGCAGTAGGGTGATTGAGCGTTCATTGTCAAATAATGATTGATAGTATTTAGAACATATACTACTTTATAATCACCTTAACTTAAAAAAATAATAATACTTAGCTCATAAACAATTAAACATTAACCATTCTTTCCAAATCAATATTGAGAATTCATAACTGAAGTGAACTTCAAATTATAAAATAGTTATTCAGTCTAGAACTGAGAAACCAAATCACTGCTCCATGGAGAGGTTATTGTTTTTCATATAGAATAATCAGATGGTGACAATTTCATCACTTCAAGGCCTGCAACAATAAGAACTTGTTTCAGTGGTCAACAACTTCCTGTATAATAATCAACGGTAAATACTAGTAATCCAAGGGTATAAACAGAACAGAAGAGTACTGAGATTATCTTCTTATAAAATTCCACTAGTTCTTTTGGTTTGGTTTTCTTCGTCTGCTTATAGCCATCAATCTCGTTCACCGCCTGCAAGACCAAGTTATGAAGATAAAGAGTATTACTCAAGAACTGAAATAGATAAAGAAATGTTGTTCACTGTAATAGAAGGTATTATTCAAGAACTGATATTGCTAAAATCTGCATGCTTAAAGCAGCAGAGTGACCATAAATCTGAAGGCCGGTTTTTGAGGAAGTTTCGATGGCTACGAAATGGGCAAAGCAATTAGTATTTACACCCAAACAAGAAAACATCATGGTAGAACCAAATCTTTCATTGAAAACTATATCCTACCAGACAAATTTCACAAGTAGATGCAGAAAAACCATATATGTCTATGCTCTAAATTCTACCTCAATCCATGCTGCCACTTTAGGCCTGCCTGCTGCTATGTCGTAGTTGAACACCTCCGATAGGTAGATCTCGAATCTTTCGACAAAAGGAATGAAGGCAATGTCTGCCTGCAAATGACAAAATCATTCATACATCTTTGTAAAAAATCTCCAACGATAAAGAATGATATCGACATAGTTATTCTTTACTGATTACAGCACCAGGAAAGCATTTTAGCATCACTGGAGAGCCAACTTACAAGACTAAACTCGTCGCCGAGGAGGAATGTGCCATCATGTTTCGTAAGAGCATGTTCCAAATGATCAAAAGCAGCACCTGATGCAAGTCCAAAGTTTTAGCTGCTTCGTATCATATGATGTACAAATACACACTACACTCAGCAAAACAGAAGCATATTTCATTCAGACTAACCGGCTTCAGTTGTGGAGTCTCCTTTAAAGGTAGTAAACACCATCTCTACAAATTTGTCTATGTGTGATGACAACTCCTCAAACAACTCTTTTTTGTCAGGATCCTAACACATATTCGAAAGACGACTTGGTTAATATCGACAACGAGGGAGAAACCTCGACTGACAGCACTAAACAATTCAACAGATCTTACATTAGGTAAAAGGGAAGGCCCTTCAAAGTTGGTATCAACATATTTAATCAAATCAAGACTCTCCCCAATGACTTTGCCGTCGTGTTCCAAGGCCGGCACCTGCAGAATGGATAGCTCTACCAAATTAACAGCAGATTTTCAAATCCTTTTAAGTTGGTTCATTTAATGAAAACACATAATATCTTGGATCACTCCACAAATCTCACCTTGTTTACAGAATAAACTTTCTCCTTGTACCATGCAGGTCTATTTTGAAGATTCAAAGGGACCAACTTAATCTTGTCTTGCAAACCCTGCAACTCAACAATTATTTACTTGAAAAACTGGGGAAAAGGAAAAGTAATCCAGAAAAACAAGGGAGTTAGACAACCTTATAATTCCTGGCGATCCACACACGCTGTGCAAAAGGGCAAGTATAAGTCATGTACAACCTTGGAAAGAAGGAAGAAGAAAGGGGTCAACTTCATTATGTAGCATTAAACACAAGCCAAAAAGATGGCTGTTTGAAAAAAAAAAAAAAAGCAGAGGAAGACGGAAAGAGTGAAACCTGGTAGTTCCATCAAAGAGAGTTGGTTCCTCTGCGGTAGCATCCAATGGAGGAGGCAAATATTCAGTAGCCATTGCTGTTGTGTTAATTTGCTTAACAGTTGTGTACACTTTGAGGAAGGAAATCTTTGGCAATATATAAATTTTGGAACTCGTAAAAGGGGTAGTCAGCAACGACGAAATTGGCGTTAACAACAATGAATTACTATTAATTAAGCTTCTATTAGTTATTTCTCTTTGTTTTCTTCTTCTCCCTCACCGGCCTCAAACCTGGGACATGTGGCTCATGCTCTCTGAACCAACAAGAGCACTAAATGTAACAATGTTTGAATCAACGTAAATAAAATACAAAACATGTTAAGACAAAGTGCATGAATTTATAACGATGATAATGACGAAGGTGGAAAAGAAAATGAAATCACATAAAGCTGTCGTTGGTTCATTCAAATTATCCTTTTTAATAATTTTTATCCAATTTCAATCTCATTAAATCTCGAAATCATATATATATTAATAAATCTAATAAATTACATAATAAAATCATGAAACTTACAAATAATCATTTTTGTTTTTCTTAAACAGTTTAATGTTGATCACCTTCAACCTCAATAATATATTTATCAAACTCAAAGGCTCTAAAGTGATAAATGAAGTAATCTGACTTCCCGCATTTGTTTTCAACATGGTTTTCAGAACCGGACCGGTTAGCGGACCGGTTAGCGAACCGGTCATGCTATCGGTTTACTGGTTCAACCGGTCGAACCGGTCCGACCGGTCGGAAGAACCGGACGACGTCATAATTATTTAAAAAATTAAATAAAAATACAAAAAATATTTAATAAAAATAATTTTTTATATCACAAGTCATATTCAAAGCAAATCATAATATATATAAGTTAAAAACCATAAAATCAAGTGAAACAAAATGATTCAAATTAACTACAACATAATATTTAAGGTAAAACATATTAAATAATAAATATAATTATATAACTATAATTAAAAAATTAAATTTGGGGCTAAAAAATCATAACAAAATGATATTGTTTGGTTTAATTTAAAAAAAACAATCTCACATGGCTAAGAAACATAGAAGAGTATCCCAAAAGTCTAAAGAGTAAAAATATGAGAACAAAACAATCTCACATGGCTAAGAGACATAGAAGAGCATCTCAACTAACTTCTATAAATAGTAGAAGTAATTTGGCATTCAAGATCATGGAGCCTTTTGGTGAGCATTGAGTGAACTATTCTTTCACTTCAATCAAGCTCGAATTTTAGGCTTCAATCGAGCTTCTAATTTTTTTTTGAGTTCAAGCTTTTTCGAGTTCAAGTTTCAATATTATATTTCGAGTTCGAGTTGAACTTGATAATTTTTAGCTCGTGAGTTTGAGTTGAGTTGAGCTTACTTTTAAAGTTTTCAAGTTCGAGTCGAGCTCAGCAATACTCGAGTTCGACTTGGCTCGTTTAACAAACGACGTCGTTTGGTTTAATTTTTTTTTAAAAATGACGGTTTTTTCCAGTTTTTTCCGATTTTCAGCCGGTCTGGTTCGAACAGTTCAACGGTTTTGACCGGTTCACTAATAGCGGTTCAATCGATGTAGATTGAACCGGACTAGACAACGATTCCTGATTGAATCGACCGATCCGGTCTGATTTTTAAAACACTGATTTTCAAAAAAATATGTTAATTCTTCCTTCCTTTGAAAACCATCAAGAAAAAGATATCACCCTCTCACGCTCTTAGGTTTCAGCAAGTATTCTTCACGCGACCCTACTTACCCTACCACTCCTATGGCATCCACCACCGAGAAACCTGGCGCATAACCTCCCACGGACAACTTAGACCCTCCTAGCAATCTCACTCATCCCGATGTTGAACTTTCTCTAAAGGGGAGCGAGGATTCGAAGACCTCCGGCACTGTTGCGGCCTTGGTTGCAAGGGAAAGTGGCGGTCCCGCCGACGATGTCCATAAGAAGATTCAACGAGCTGATCGATTCGGCGTACCCGTCCAGTTATCTGAGCAAGAAAAGCGTAATTCTAGGGCTGAGAGGTAACATCTTTATTCCCCCTCCCCCTATTTCTTTGTGTTATATTTAGGGTTTATCGGGTGTTAATGAGTTTTTTTTTGTTCTTTTCTTTTTAATTTCTGAAAAAGACTATCTTGATAAATTTCTTCAAATGCAATTTTTGTATTCTTGATAATGCTCTCGATCTATGTTATTTAGGATCTCTTAATATCTCATAATTTTCAAAATGTTTGTCTTAAATGTAGCCAATTTATCCATTATTTCTCAAGAGATGAGTTTAGCCCATCATAATCTTACTAGTTACCTTACTAAACATGTCTGCATGTTTGGATTGGAGCCTGGGAATGTTTGGCAGGATAACGTAAATATTACGTTAGATATCTACTGGTGTTTGATTAAAGAGAGATCTTATGGCTCCTTATTCTATTATACTTGAAGAGATTTCTTGATGGTTAAGGTGCAGTTGTTGATGATGAACACCATTTCTCTACTTCTCCATGTGTTTGTAACTTACTGATTGTGGGCCAATAATATTGTAGGTTTGGCACTGCACCGAGCTCAATTGGATCAGAAGCATCTAAGCAATCAGAGGAATTGAGGAGAAAGGCTAGGGCAGAGAGGTTTTTATTCCATACCACCTTTACCCAGTGATATTCTAGCTTTCAGCTGTATTTATAAGTTTGTTTTATTTTATTTTCGGAGAAAATAACCTCAGTGACCGAAAATTCCTTATAATATACGATTTTGACCAACTTTTTTTGATTTACCAAAATGACCAACAAAATCGCAATGCGATCTCCAGTATCGCAAATCAGTTTCCAGATTCGCAACGCGATTTTGACTATCGCAATGCGAATATGTAAATCGCAACGCGATTCTGACTATCGCAACGCGATAATACATAATCGCAACGCGATTCTGACTATCGCAACGTGATAATACATAATCGTAACGCGATTCTGACTGTCGCAACGCGATTCTGACTGTCGCAACGCTGAATTTCAAATCCGCAACAGGTTTTAGTTTCGCAACACAAATATTTTGGGTATATAACCACGTAGCAACAACAACTCATAACCTAAATCCCTAAATTGCAACTCATTCCATCTACATCTATCACTCTCTCCGGCGACATCCGTTCCTATATCCAACGACATCCTTCCCCATCCTGTAACAGGTTTTAGTTTCACAGCTCGTTTGTTTAGTAAATTAATTTACAATAATGAAATCATCTAATGTTGATCATGTTTGGATAGATTTGTGTTTTGGAGGGTCATGGGAGAATGTTCATGGTGTTTTACAATATATGCCTTTACCCATGAATCTTCAACTAAAACTGTCATTAAAAAAGTTAACTTATGAAACTCTAATGTTACGTGTTGCAAATAAATTGAATTTAGAGCCCTTAAGTGGATTTAGGCTATCTTATCAGAGAAAAGGTAAAGTTTATTTGTTAACCGACAATGAAGATGTTGAACGATTCATTGCTTACATTAGTGTTTCGCAAGATGATGTTACATTTTATGTTGTTGAACCTAGAAGTAGTGAAGTTGGGTCAGTAGCGGGTAGTAATCAACTAAGTTTTTCAACCCCAGTTTATGGTGCTCAAAATTTAATGGTTCCACCACAATTTCATCACCAAGCAAATTTTGTTTCACCACATTTCCAATACCAAACACAATCTCAAAACCCACAACCTTTCCCTAATCCAAATCCCAATCAACTTTCAGCACCAAATTTTGATTTTCGTATTAACCAGTTAGACGATGATGAGCCAACAGAAAAAATTGTGAGAACTAGTCTGTATTCAAAATTTGATCTTGGTCAATACCCGGACTTTGATCTTGGTCAATACTCAGATTTTGATGATGTTTCAGAAGAAGAAACAGGCTCTGCGTGTAATGATTTTGATATTGGTTAATACCCAAATTTTGATGATGAAACAGCCACTGTCGAGGAAGATATTGTTGATGATAATGAGGAGGAAGTTACGACTGTGAATGAACATGTTGAACATCCATTCTGTAATTCATATAACCCTGAAAAAGAAAAAGAAGAAGAAAAAATCCCCGAAGAAAATGCCACGGGAGTATAACTGGAATATGCCAGAATTACTTCAGATACCGGAAGAAGAGTTGGTAAAAATAGCAGTTGATTGTTACACAAAAATTATTCGTATCAAGAAAGATGATTGTTTTGATTCAAAGGAAGACTTGAAGATAGCTTTGTATACGAAATGTGTGGAAGATGGCTATCAACTAAAAGTTAACAAATCAAGTAAAGATCGTTTCGAAACAAGGTGTATGATTGACAAAAACTGTACGTGGCGTATGATTGCAAAGAGGATAAAAGATTATGAAATGTTTCAAGTTAGGACTTTTATTGATAAACATACATGTTCAAGAACCCAAGTTTTTCCTCACCATAGACATGCAAACAAAAAGGTGTTCGGTGGTTTTCTGGCTGAGTTAATGTTTTTGAATGGCATGGTATATCGGGGACATGAAATTATGACTGACATGAATACTCGGTTCAAGATTAGTATCTCATATTCTCAAGCTTGGAGAGCCAAATGTTATGCCTTGGAATTGTTGAGGGGGTCGCCAGAAGCATCGTTTGCCCAACTGCCGGCTTATTGTCACAATTTAAAGCTGAAAAATCCTGGGTCAGTAACTCATATCAAAACAGATAGAGATGGACACTTTGAGTTGCTGTTTATCGCCATTGGTGCTGCGATTAGTAAATCAATATAATTTTGTTGACTCATTTTTGTTAGTTACATGCATTTCACATTTAAATGATTATATTTCTTGTGTATATGATTTTGCAGATTCATTCATTTATTACTTGCATGCGCCCAGTTATTATAGTTGACGGAGCACATTTAAAAGGTTGATACCTTGGAGTAAACTTATTAGCAGTAGCCATGGATGCTAACAATGGGATACTGCCAATAGCTTACGGGGTTGGCAAATCTGAAACCTCTGATTCATGGACATGGTTTATGGGGCATCTTAGGGATTGCATAGGTCATATTAGCAATCTGACAATCATATCCGATTGGGCAAACTCAATTGACAACGCTGTTAGAAGGTGTTTCCCAGATTCTTTTCATGGACTTTGTGGTGTTCATTTGTATAGAAATCTAAAATCAAGGTATGCTGGTATAAAAAATCACAAATGGACATACTTGAAGGCTGTAAAAGCTTATCAGGAAGTGGATTTTAATAAGCATATAAATTGTTTAAGACGTGTTTTGCCTCAGTGTGCTCAAACACTAGAAGATGTAAGGTTTGAAAGATGGTCAAGAGTACATCAACTTGGAGCAAGATATGGTTTCATGACGTCTAATAGTGCAGAATCAATCAACGCTCTAAGTCGTCATTCCCGGAAATTACCCATTACTATGTTAATGGAGTTTTTTCGAGCCTCTATTCAACAGTGGTAATACAAGAAAAGAAACAATGCATGTATTATTTCTTTAAATTCGTAACTTATCATATATTTTACTAAGTATTATTTATTTAAATTTACAGGAACATTGGAATATCGTGTTACACCATGGACTGAAAAAAAGATAACGAAACGTGTTGTGAAGTCAACGTCATGGAGAGTTGAACCATGTTCAAACACTTTGTTTGAAGTGCTGGATAATAACTTAAATGGGCTTGTCGATCTAAATACAAAGACGTGTAGTTGTATGAAATGGCAAACATCTGGTTATCCGTGTGGCCATGTTATAAAAGTTGCTCTTCATCTAAACCAAGATGATTCAAGCGCATACGTTATGGATTGCTACACTACAAAAGTATATCGACAGACTTATGTCGAGATTATCTACCCTATTCCATATCCTTCTGAGTGGGACATACCAGATGACTTACAAACAGTTTTGCCACCAGCCATGGACAGAAGGCTACCTGGCCGACCAAAAGGTCACGATCGTATACCGTCTAAGGGTGAAGAGAAGAAGAGATCGACATATAGTCGGTGCAAGGAAAGTGGTCATACAAGGTTGACATGTGGATCACCAGTGCCATCACAATTATCTTTTCCTCTACCAAAATATAGATCCTCATCAAAATCCAAAGCTCATATGGTGTCAAGAAAAAGGCAATCAAAATCCCAATTACAACAAGCTTCACCTTTTGGGACTATTAACTTAGGTGATTTTTAAATGCAAACGTTGTATTATGTGTATTTTATGTGTAAACTTTTAACATTTTCAGTTAGACATGTATTAGTAACTTGAGTTTGAACATTGCTATGATATGTTCAGTTGTTATCACTTATTACACATTCATTTGAATATCGCAACGCGAATTTGACTATTATGTGTATTTTATGTGTAAACTTTTAACATTTTCAGTTAGGCATGTATTAGTAACTTGAGTTTGAACATTGCTATGATCTGTTCAGTTGTTATCACTTATTACACATTCATTTGAATATCGCAGCGCGAATTTGACTATCGCAACTCAAAAATTACAACGCGAATTTGACTATCGCAACGCGAATTTGACTATCGCAACTCAAATTTGACTATCGCAACGAGAAAATCGCAAAGCGTATTAGACTATCGCAATGCGAATTGACTTTCGCGTTGCGATTTTGGCTTTTACATTGCGATTTTGACTTTCACATTGCGATTTTGAGTTTAGCGTTGCGAAAGTGTACCTTCAACAGGTCTTTTGCCTTCAATATGATGCAGATTGAAATCAACAAATCAACTTTTACATTTCAATCAATTAAATAAGCACAAATAAGAATTATTTACACATCAATTAAACAAATCAACTTTTACAAATCAACTTTTACAAATCAATTAAACAAGCACAAATAAGAATTATTTACACATCAATATTAAACAAATCAACTTTTACAAATCAATTTTTACAAATCAATTAAACAAGCAAAAAATGCTAATAATTCTTATTTTTATCATCAATTAAACAAATCAGACTTTTAAGAATCAATTAAACAATAAAAAAAAGTGTACCCCAGACAGTTGTTTATGCACCCATACATCAATTTCACGCAGCTCACTTCACGATTAATCTGCAGAAACCAAACATTTGCTCAAACAACACTTTCTACACATCTAAAACCAACAAACGGCAAATTATTATTGAATTCTAGGTACTTAACAACACTTGCATTTGACTTACAAATTGTTTATGGACACTTTCATAACGCGGATGCAGGTAGGCAGCGTCTCGCATATATCGTTCTAGCCATAAAATGCCAAAACCACAAGCCTACTGCACCTCTATCTCTATCGGTGGGAGGTAGAAATTATGTACTTCCTGTCGTCAAACGCTCCAAGCACATGCATACGAGAGGACCACAATCCCCTCTGGTTTCCTGCGTTTGTTGTGGCGCGGTCTCGTCTCTGATAACTGATTGAACTTCTTTGGCTTCTTGTTTCCAGAATAAGTCCAATAATTAATCGCATCCAAGAATTTAGCCAAATGAGAGCTCCATCCCTTAATAATATCTCTCAAATCAGACAATGATATGTAATTTATCATGCTGTCATATACTATTGTCTTCAGGGATGGGAGCTGAAGCTCGACGAGAAGCCAATGAGTACGTTCCAAAACAGGGATAAACACATGCAATCATAAGTAATAATTCAAATTGTGCACTTATTTATGAACACCTTTAAAATATTTAAAAAAAATAAATACTAACCTTATCGACCTCCCACCATGCAGGATAAAGTTTAGCTTGTCCATTAGCCAACACATATGATTCCTGTCGTTGATTCTTCAAGTGAACTACGTGAAAAGACGTCGGCATAATTGTATATCGCGTATTTTTTTTATTTTTCTTCAATTTCCTTACTATTAGAAGACGTGACACCCATGCATCAATATGTTGTTTTACAAAAAAAGACATATATTAGTGAATTACATAAATTTTAAAAAAAATTAATCAAAATGAAATATAAGAAGAAATATAAGACTTAACCCCCATCGAAATAGCCTTTGTCTTCAACCCCTAATAACACACCCCCACCAAGAATGATCAATCAACAAATGCATATCATCATTGAGTTTGTATATGTCAGCGTACACCCTTGGATCCGCTCATGTAGATAAAAATCAACTGCAGTCTTAGCCCAAAAGGTATTATCCAGAATTGTTTCTGGTAGTTGTCTCATCTCCACTTCATCTGCCGGAATGGTACTGGACGGTAACTTATACGAAAGCCAACAGTCATCCATCATGTCCGGCACGTGAGGGGGTTTCTTAATAATTCGACATATTACGCCATATGAATCGGGCTCTTGAATGGTGGGAGGGACCTCTTCAACGATGACAAGGGCCTCTTAAACGGTGGGAGGGGACTCTTGAGGGATGATAGGGGCCTCTTGAACGATAGGAGAGGCCTCTTGAACGATGACAGGTGAGTCGGGCTTCTTCTTACGGAGTCTTTGCACTATTGGGGTGAACGGAGACGTAATGGCATGTGTACGCCGTCTGATGCGTGAACCCCGTCGTGCAAGAAAAACCCGACGTAAAGCATCCACCTTATCGAGCCGCTAAAAATAAATTAATACATAAATCCGTAAATAAACAGACATGATATTAAACAGTGAAAACAAAGACAAATATGTTTCAAACTTGCACGGTATTCACCCAAGTCATTATTCTATCATAGTTCACAAAATGCATCAGATAACATTCTGGAAGTAAGCACTTATAAACATTTAAAAGGACAACATATAGGTTTAGTGCATGTTCAAGGACAACATAAAGAGTAGTAGTTTATTCTTGAAACTTAAATTTGCAACACTATGAAGTTAGTATTTGTCTTTGCCTTTTGGTTGAAGTAATGCAATCCATTCAAGTTTTAATCTGAAACTTAAAATCGCAACACGAAACTTAATTTGCAACGCGAAAATGACTATCGCAACGCGGAAATGACTATCGCAACACGAATTTAACTATCGCAATGGGATAATCACAATGCGAAATAAAAATCGCAACGAGAAAATCGCAACACGAAACCAAAATCGCAACGCGAAACTAAATTCGCGTTTCGATAGTCATTTTCGCATTGCGATTTTCATGTTGCAATTTTTATTTCGCATTGCGATTATCCCGTTGCGATAGTCAAATTCGTGTTGCGATAGTCATTTTTGCGTTGCGATTTTTAAGTTTCGTGTTGCGACTATTCTTCTTCTGCAAATTGAAACTTGAATGGATTGCATTACTTTAACCAAAAGACAAAACAAAGACAAATACTAACTTCACAGGGTTATTTTAGAACTGTTTAGCAGTATTGGTAGCAACCGAATGAATTTACTAAGCAATATAAGTGAAATTACGAGTAAATCAAGTTAAATATGAAAAATCTTAAACTTACCTCGTTGCGTAGAGTATGAACCTCATTCTGTAACAATGTTACCATCTCACGTAGAGCCGCTACCTCACCACGTAAAGTAGATACCTCGTTACACCATGCACCATTGTCACCGCGTAAAGTACCGACCTCCTCACGCAAGGTATTGACCTCATCACGTAACTCCCCTAACTCATCCCGTGGAGGTGGAGGTGGAGAACAGGGAAATAAATATCGTGGCATCTTTGTCGGTCGCCTATAATGAGGTGATGGTGGAGAAGAGGCTCGATGATGTGACGGAATAGGTGATGGCTCTCGTTGTAGAGGTATATAGTATGGTCGATCTGGTGATGGCTCTGGGTGAGGTGATTCTCTCGAAGTGGAGGCTGCTCATCATCTGTGCCATCAAAAAAACGCTTACTAGCTTGCCACCAATTAGTGGCAAGCTCAGCCTCTGTGGGTGTCAGCCTCTGTAATGGAGTGTTGGCCTCCTAACAATATAAAAGCTCAAACAAAGTTAAACGTGTACTAGTAATAACTTGTTTATATATGGTAGTATTTGTGTTAACTTACATCATTTATTGTCGTATACCGTAGTAACTCTTCCCAAATCAACAGCTGTCGTTTCCTCTTCCAGGAAATAGCTCTAGGAATATCATTTGAAGTTTTTAATGCATATGTCTGCATGTCGGGAAAAGCCTCAAATATCCAAATCTACAAAATCAATAGAATACACAAATATTAGTAATTGTTAAATAATTAATTATAATTTTGGAAACATTATATAGAAATTCTTACCTTAAAGGCTCAAATAAAGCCTGACAAAGTGTATTTGGAACCATCGCCACGCAAACTTTTGCGGTCATCAAAGGCAGACGACAACTTATTCCAGGTAGCTTTCCATAGATACGAACCCCACGGAAACAGATTACATGCATTTAGGTCCTCTACCAATAATATTAGGTCCTTAGGAATAGGTTGTCTGGCCTCTCTGCCTAAAAAGTCGGCATGCAAAAGTACTAAAAGGCATACTTGGACAACATCGACGTCATCCATCCAAGTAAAACCATCTTTCTTATTCAATAATCTCGTCAAGTCGTCGACGTGTAAATTTGGCTTCTCCATTGACAGCTCAGGAAAAACCCGGGATAACCATGATGGGCGGGTAATATGACTAGTGTATCGACCTACATCATCGTGTCCGAAGCGTAGACCAGTGATTAAGCAAAACTCCTCCCGCCCAAAACACGTATGAAACCATATCTCTTTATTACCACGTTTTATACTCTCGGGTAGATCGCTAGTCATGGTCTGAAGCCACAAATGGGTCAACATAGCATCTCCACCCGGATGTTGTACTTTCAGCCATGGCCTGAAGCAAGTATCCTCAAACAATTTTCTTTGTACAGGTGAAAGCTTCGACGCAATTGTAGTGACTAGGCTTATTTTATTCCTTAAGATCAATTGAGCCGAAAAAAAGTTCTACAAAAACAATAAACATACCAAGTTAGATTAAAAACTACACTGTGAAGATATATCAAAAACAATAATAAACATAAAGAGTAGTAGTAGTTTATTCTTCAAACTTAAATTTGTAACACTGTGAATTTCATATTTGTCTTTGTTTTTTGGTTGAAGTAATGCAATTCATTCAAGTTTCAATTTGCAGAAGAATAATAGTTTCTGAAACTTAAAATCGCAACACGAAAATGAAAATCGCAACACGAAAATGAAAATCGCAACACGAAAATGACTATCGCAAAGCGAATTTGACTATCGCAACGCGAAATGAAAATCGCAACACGAAAATGACTATCGCAATGCGAATTAAACTATCGTTGCAATTTTCATTTCGCGTTGCGATCCTCGGTTTCAAATAGTCATTGTCTAAAATTGAAACTTGAATGAATTGCATTACTTCAACCAAAAGACAAAACAAAGACAAATACTAACTTTACAGGGTTAAAGACTAAACAGTTTAGCAGTATTAGCAGCAATCGAATGAATTTAATAAGCAATCGAAGTGAAATAGTTAATCTATTATTGAAATTACCAGTAAACTTATCATCAATTTCAATATGAAAAACCTAATAATAATGCAAAAATTTCAAAATAAAAATAATTAAAAAAACTAACCCTCGGTGGTTGATTTGGTTGATTTTTCATTTCTGATCGTGAATGATTGTGATGGTGGCTCTGAGAGATGGAGATAGACGGATTTCGCCGGAGATGGGGACGGATTTCGTCAGAGATGGGGACGGATGTCGCCGTAGAGAGTGAGAATAGAGATGGGACTGACTTGTGATTTAGGGTTTTAGGTTAAGAGTTGCGATTACGGGATGTATTAATATTCGTGTTTGGAATTTGAAAATAAAATACGCGTTGCGATACTAATGGCGCTTTGAAAATCGCATTGCGATTTTGTATTATTGCGTTGCGATTATGTATTATAGCGTTGCAATAGTCAGAATCGCGTTGCGATTATGCATTATCGCGTTGCGATAGTCAGAATCGCGTTGCGATTTATATATTCGCATTGCGATTTTCTAAAATCGCAACGCGAATTTGAAAAATCGTAATGCGATAGTCAAAATCGCGTTGCGAATCTGGAAACTGATTTGCGATACTGGAGATCGCATTGCGATTTAGAGATCGCATTGCGATTTTGTTGGTTATTTTGACAAATCGAAAAAAAATTGGTCAAAATCGTATATTATAAGAAATTTTCGGTCACTGAGGTTATTTTCTCTTATTTTCGTGGTTCTCAGGTTTGGGATTACTGCACCCTCTACAGCTACTGATGAGGATGCGAAGAAGAAAGCTCCTCTTGCCAGATTTGCACCATATTCCAAACCTGATTCAGTAGAAGAAGTAAAAAGAAAAGCAAGGGCAATCAGGCATGTTCCAATGCTAAAGAACTGTTTTCTACATTTTTTTAGATATATAATTGTCTTCAGAAATATTTATTTAATAGGTTTAACCTTGAAATTGAAATTTATTATTTTCTGGTATTTCCAGGTTTTCAAACCCTTCTAATTCGTTATCTCAGGAGAATGGAAAGGGCAATCTTGAGCCAGTAAGGCCTTGTTTGTTGTTTTCCTGACGAATTTCTTTGATAGGAGAATTCAAGTATTTTTAGAGGGTGCTGTCTGAGATACTGATTTCTGTATGCCCCCACCCCCTACTTTTTCAGGAGGCTCCTACTGATGGGAAGGCTGGTTGAGAAATCTAAATAGAAACTGCCCACATAGTTAGAAGGTATTTTTGGAGATAAGCGTTGCTTTAATCTTGTATATATACAACTATGCACACAAATATACTTGTTTAGATATGTTTATTCATATTATTGATTTATTTATCAATGATTTATATTTTATGTAGTTGCTTTCTTTTTTCTTGTCAGGTTTAATGTTCTAACAGCTTGTGATTCCCTCAACGGCTTCTTTACAATGCTTTCTTTTCAACCTCAGAATTCTTAGATGCAGATTTCCTTCATCCCCAGATAAATTCTAAAGCAGTGAACTTTTTCTGCGGTATGGAAGGTGTTTTTCTTTCTTCTCATTTCAGGCACAGCTATGGTTTGTATTCATTTGGTGAGGCCTAGAGGAATCAGCAAACACCTGTAGTGTTAACCTGTCTCAAATCTTACAAAGAGCATTAGAAATTCTGAAGTAGTGTCAAAATATTTCAACCTTTCCCTTTTGATAATATAATGAGAAAGTATTGAGTGGTCAGTAGTTTCCTGTTAAAAGAAGTTAATTGATTTGTTCCCTTTTAAAGGCAAAATTATGGCAGCAGTTTATACTGTTCTAAGTTGCATCGTGTGATCATGTGTGAGACAGCGGTAGTTATTCATATTAAGTCTGACATCTATGTCCCTGGCTTTATAGGACTTCTTTGTCTGTCTGGCTTGAAAGGCAGGAGGAATTTCTATTCTTGCTTTGCCTTTTGTATGTGGGGGTTTCTATGTTTTTTTGGGGGTGGGGGAATGATCCTTGGCTATAGGATAAATGGTAAATCATAGTTCATAAATGCTTTTGATCTGAACAATCATTGATAACTTCATTTTCGCTTCCCTTGGTCTGACCTTGATATGCAATAAAATATAGGGTCAACTACGTATTTAATCATTCGCGGTTCTGGTTTGATCAATTCACACCATAATATTACAAATATCTATAACTAAATTTAAACATAAACTCGAAAACTAGACTTAATTCGACTTGAATCGAATTTTATAAACTTGACTACTTAAAAAAATAAAATTTGAATCCTAAAATAGGAATCGGCCAACTCAAAAAAAAATTAAGATTAAATTCAACCTGTTTTATATTCTTAGTCCATCGAAGAAGGTAAAGAGAACATTTTTCTTGCTCATGTTGGGACTTGGAGTGCAGCATCCTGAAATCCTAAATTATAGTAATACTTTTAGTTTGATGATCAAAAAATTCTTTTAAGGATTTAAATACTAATTTTAAAGATATAAAAGGGTTCCATATTTGATTAAGATTAAATTAGAAATTGAAAAATTGTATTTGAAAGTATAAGGACGAAATTAAAAAGAATGTAAAATTATAAATTTTGCATCTTTATTATTCCAAAAGGCATTGATAATAGAAATTTATGGAATTCCTAAAGATAGGTGTCATGTTTTGATTTATATTATTAGTGAAAATATGACAAATAATAAATGGTTTAATTATAAAATATAAAATAAACTGATTATAATAGTAAGCAAAATATGGGTAAATTTACTAATGAGGTTGGTTAAAGTGATAAGTAGTTTGATATCGCTTAAGCAAAGTCTCAGGTTTAAGTTCTTATGTATGTAGAAAACCCCGGTTGGGAGACTCACCGAAACCAGGTGTGCGACCCAGGTCGATTCATATTAATCAAGGCAAAGCCTTGGAACTGAAGGATAACAAACAAAAAAAGAGAGTAAATCTGATCACTCATATATTCTTGCATTTTTGTTTCGGTCATTCAATTATTTTTTTTTAAATTATATATAGTGTTATGTTTTAATTTTACTTTTTATCATATCGTTAGAAAATTAATGAAAATTAATAAGATATGAATGTTAGCATGTTTTGAAAATCATACATCAACGACAGTTTGTTATTTTTTTCTTAGTTGGTTCAGTCTCACAAAATAAATAAAACTTTGAGAGCTAAAAATGTGATAAGGGTATATAAATTGCACGTTGGAATCTTCAGCATGTGAACTTGATGAGGTGAACGAGAAGATATAAGAAGATTGATCAGCTTTTAACGGAGCCGGATACTAATTGAAAATTTTTATATGCAGAAACGTGAAATCAAAACATAATATTTCATGCGATCTGTTCCTTAATATTCTTTACAATTTTACGTTTTATTATCTTATGAAGTTTTAAATTTATAAGAATCAAGGTTTCAACTATGAATTCTTATACAGACAGCAATGGAGTTTCTAATGGAAATCGTTGGGGGGGGGGGGAAACGATGTTCATCGTGTTTTAGACATCCGAATCCCCACCATTGATCCATTTATATTTTCCTTCAGAAACTTAACCTATGAAGTCAAAGTCGTCGGCAGCAAATCAAGGTTCCCATGTTGTGGGAAGAAGACGAACGTCAAAAGCTTGCTCAACGACATCTCAGGCGAAGCAAAGGAACGTGAAATAATGGCGATTTTCGGCCCAAGTGGATCGGGCAAATCGACACTGATCGACGCTCTCGCCAACAGGATTAATAAGCGAAGCCTGAAAGGGTGCATCACTTTGAACGGTGAAGCCCTGGAATCAGGCCTTTTGAAAGTGATATCTGCATATGTTATGCAAGACGACATGTTGTTCCCTATAGGCCTGTAAACGAACCGAACGCACACGAACGGAGGTATGTTCATGTTCGTTCATTTAATAAATAGACGAACATAAACGAACGCGAACATAAATGAACAAAATTTTTTTTTGTTCATGTTCGTTTATTAAGGAATATAATTTATTCATGTTCGTTCATTTAATACATAAACGAACATAAACGAACACGAACATAAACCAACACGAACATAAATGAACACGAACATAAACAAACATAAACGTTGGAGACCCTACCTTCCATTATTCTTTCATGAAAAATAGTCGACAATGTAAATCAACCAAATCTACAGTGATAAATAGCGTAAGAGTTGATTAGCAGTGATGAAATGTTTGAAGATATCAAATATTTCGATCGATCTTTTAAAGATATTAAATGATTCACACAACTTTAATTTAACGCTATAACATTTATCTTAGTGGTCCATGATTACATATGAACAATCATTTTCCGCTATTACACTCTTTTTCAGAAATTGCATAGAAACCTTTGTTTTGTTTTCTGGCAAATTCTATATATTTTTCTCTTTATTGATGCTCGTATACTTCCGATTGTTACCTTTATATTCTCATCTATTTCTAGAAAGAAGTATGGTGTTTTCTTGAGTTTTAGATGTGAAGATACCTGCAATAACTTTACATATCAACTATTAAGCCAAATAAAACAGAGAAAGAGATGAAAACAAACATGTAAAACTTCATATTGCACTATAATATAACTTGTTTTGAAGCTTTCAGCGATCGTCTTCACTTTCTAGTGAACACTAGGGTTTGGGAAAAAAATGGGGAAATGAATATAGGTGCGAGGTGCCTCACAGGTTAACATATTGGATTTAATCTCCAAATAAAATTGGATTAATTATGGAGTTGGTCATCAGAATATCATATTAATTAATATTTTTAAGATACTTACCAATTGGTCACCAAAATTGATTTAAGAAGATTGGGTTAAACATAAATGAATGAACATAAACGAACATAATCGAACGAACATAAACGAACATAACCGAACGAACATAACCGAACGTTCATGAACGTAAATGAACGAACGAGACCTATGTTCATGTTCGTTCATTTAATTAAACGAACAAAAAATCTTGTTCATGTTCGTTCATTTAATAAATAAACGCACATAAACGAACTTCCCGCCGCACGGTTCATGAACGGTTCGCTGAACGTTCAGTTCATTTACAGGCCTAGTTCCCTATGCTGACAGTAAAAATAATTTTGACTCAAATCGGTCGTAGACACCCGTTTTTGTCTGGTTAAAATATATTATTATTATTATTAATAGTATTATTACATTATGCAGGCTCAAACCCATCCAACCCCGCAGCCATAAATAGACCAAGCAGCTCACGAGAGCTGCTGCACCATGGACGAAAAGGAATGCATCTAGACTAAAACTCACCATAGCTGCAACAAGCGGTGCCCAGAACAACACCAAGACAGCATCCCCGTTAGCCACACGGACCAAAACAGAGGGCCAACAACACCCTGCGCCTACTGCAAAGCCAGGCAGCAACGAAACACCCCAAGCAGCTCACTAAAAGCCCCAAAATGTAAGCAATCTACAGCAAAGCACACGTTCTATCCAGAGCAAGGAAACCATACATCGACAGTCACCACCCAAAGTCAAAAACTAGATCTATCCTACTCCTCCACTACCCCAAATCACTAAACCTAAATCACTAAACCTACTCCACTAAACCTAATCCACTAAAACCCAACTAATCACAGCCATAAAAGAGAACATTGGCGGCATTCGAAGGGAGAAAATCCTGAGTTCTCACCTTTGGTTTTGTGAAATAATGAAATCCATGTTTTTTAGGTCATTTTCTGGCCGTGCATTGTTTTGTTTATTGGCCAAATACCAAGTGGTGTCTTTTAATGCTTCACGTATGGGATTTTTGTGAAGCAGATCCTCCGTAGTTGTAATTTTGTCATTTCAGTCATCAATGAAGCTTTTACTTTATTTCATTTTGGGCTCACATGTTGTCCAGGATTCTAATTTCGTCCTTAGTAAACCATCATATTTTAGTCTATTCACATGCAGGTAATATATATTATTCATTCGTTCATTTTTAATAATTTATTTGTATTAGTTGTATTGGAGTAAAATTTATGTAGTTTATATAATGTTCTGTTTTTGAGTCTTGCATATGGTTGTACATATTGCAATTTCAGTACTTGTGTTAGGTAGTATTTCTACGATTAAACTCTATTTTGTTTGATGTTTGTGATTTTAGTTTCGTTTTGGTGTATTGTTATTTTCTTGATTCGTCTTTACTTGATTTCAGTCAATTTTACAAATCGGGTAGGTTTTTACATCCCTAAATAGAAGAGTATTCCTTGTAAATTCAAATGAACGAGTTTTCCTCCCTAAAATTTTTTAAAGATCATTGAAAAACATTTAACTTTAGAAATTAGTTCATTTCATTAATAAAAATTATATTTATTCAAGGAATCACATTTAAAATAGAACACTATAAGAATACTTTAATCTTTTTAACACATAATTGACCCTTGAATGCAATTATTTTTTTACTCTAATTTAAAATACATGCTTTTTAAAATTATCATTTTAAATAAATAAAATTTTCAAAAATATTTTAATAAAAGAGTAAAATAACTTTGTTTCTTTAAAACACAATTTTTTCAAGAAAATATTTTTCGTCGACCTAAAACCAATTTCGACAATTCGATTTTGATAAGTTAGGTTTAAATTGCTTCAAATCCAAAGTGTTTCATGATGTAGGTTACTTGTATTCGAATTTAAGTTTAGTTAGGCATAACTTTCTAAAAAATAACTTTTAAAAGTGTTATATAAATGAATTGTTAAAAGTGTTGTATAAAAGTACCGTTTAAAATTTAGTTGTTTAAGATTATTGTTAAAAAATAAGTTTAAAAAGATAAAATATCCATTATAAACATTATGTTGTAAATTAAAAATATAACATTTAAATTATATTTAAACATATATATGAATCATTGTCGACACTCATTTTAATCCGACCACATTATATAATATATTATAAACGTTTCATTATTATGTAAACATATTACATTACACATATTATTATAGTAATGTTTGTTTTTGTTTTGGTTTTTGTCAGGCCCAACCCGCAACTCTACTGGCCAAACAATCATGGCCAGTACGTGTGCAACCCTAGGTAAGTTTGGTTTTTCCTTCTGCTGCCCTTCAACGCCGTACAGTTAGCATGGAAGGGATGAACCACCATCCAAACTGAGGACTCTTGGAGAGTCCTCATGGCAGCTGCAACCAATTCACGCTCCGAATCATCCGGCGTATCATGGGTTTCGTGAACCAAATAGACAAATCACGTAGCATTTCAATCCCATCAAAACACTAAAACCGAATCAAAAATAAGGGATTCCTATGCTATAAATTGCTGCATAAACAAGGCAATGGGGGTACAAAAACCTCACTGAAAAATATGGGGAAAAAGGGATTGAAAGGAAACAGGAAGCGTTGATTCCAGGGCTACTCGACGAAATCGGAGAGCTTTGTCTTCTTCATCTTCCATATCCATACCAGTTGTTGGCACGATCAGTGTGTTGCTTCTGGAACAATATCATAACAGGCCCCAGCTTCTCTGTATGATACAATGGCAAGTGATAGACCCGCGATCAAACTATTGGTTTGTATTACCTTCGATGCCTTGTCCCAAGGCTGTGTGCCCACCGGGGTTTGCTTGTACTTCGAATACACGTCAAGGCCAGCTCTACGTTTTAGGCGGTATGCGATCAGACACACAAACTTCCATAAATAAAATGATGGTTTACACCGCATCCTCAAATCAGTGGTCCATAGCGTCTCCCATGGTGACCCCACGATCTTTCTTCGCTGCTGGGAATGTCAATGGTAACATCATTGCTGTCGGTGGAAGTGGGGGCGAGTACAATGACTCAAAAACCTCCGTGGAATGCTATGATCCACATACTGACACGTGGGAGCAAGTTCCTAAAATGCACGTGGAGATGTGCAGCATTTATGGCCATTATTTTAGCTGTTTGTTACGTGAATTGAGATTAAACAAATTCATAAGTGGTTTTGAATTTTTGGTAAATCTCATAATCGGTCCCTGTAAGTTGTACCTTTTTAACATGTTGGTCACTGCAGTTTATTTTTAGTATTTTGATTTTGATTTCCAATTTTATGCATACTTTATTTTGGTCACTAATGAAATTTAATTTTTTATTTTTTTATTTTCAGTCTCTTAGTTTTATAATAATTACATTTTAATCACTAATTTTGTGCATTTGATATTTTGTTTAATTGCTAGGTGATCCTTAAACATTGTTTTCATTTTTTTTAAAGAATTTAACCTTTTGTTATTATTATTATTTTTTCCTTCATTTTATTTCGTTTTATTATTATTTATTTTATTTTATTTTATTTTTATTATTTATTATTTTTATTTTCTTATTATTTTTCCTTTTTACTCAATTTTATTTATTTTATTTATTTTTTTATATTAATATTTTTCTTTTTTTCATATTTATTTCTATTTTCTAACATTTTTTACTTTTTAGGAATGCTTTCAATCGATCAAAGGTAATTAATTCGAATCGAATTTTTAAATTTTAATTTAAATTCTAATTTTCGCAATTAAAGACAACCGACAAATTAATTGGTATCGAAAGGGCGGTTAAAGGGTGCTAATCCTTCCTTGACCGTAACCGACTCCCGAACCTGACACGTTTCTGGTAAAACGCAGATAAGGTAAGATGGTGTCCGACCCACCTAAATTCGTTTTAAAATGGTCGGTGGCGACTCCAATTCACTTTTTTCAAGTCGAAGCCCAATTCTGGGGCCCAACCGAAAGACGGTCGCGACAGCTTGGAGACTCCGTTAGGGACAGGTAAGTGAGTTAGGCCGAAATTAATTTTCGTTTGTCTTTTTATGCGAAAATGGTAAATTTTAATTTTAATTTATTCATTCGATTCCAATTACTTACCTTTGATTATTTTTCAAATAAATAGTTGTAATGACATTTTTTTTTGATGATTTCATATTTTCAAAATTTTCATCTAAGGCTCTATACCCGAGCTCCGAACCCTATTTAAGTGGGGGTAAAAGTGACGCCTTCGTGTGAATTTATTCTCCGTATGGGCCTAGCAATTAACCTTCGTGATTCATATATACCTTGTGTCTTCGTGTGAATTTATTCTCTGTATGGGCATAAGGGAATGTATCCTCCCGAGTTTAACTTGGTCCATATAAGCATGTGATGGGTTTAGGACTAAGGGTCTGGCAAGCCCAAGGGGCGCCAGCAAGGAGAACTCGGGTACCGTTTTTAGAACCTAAACCAGGAGACTATGGAGAATTAGAGCTCATCCCGAAACCTCATTATAAATCCTAGGCCGCTTTGATATTATTTCCTGCTTTATTTCATGTTCAAAGCATGTGAACTAGAAATTTATGCGGTTAGGACTTGTTCAAAATCAACTTGCGGGATAGAGATCATGTCCGGGTAGGAATAATAAGCATGTGGGGTAGATATCATGTGGAGTATGACTTTTTCATGATTGTTTTGATTATTATCTTTACCTTACTAACTCTTTTCATTTTTTCTCTTTTTTATTTTATTTCCATCATCTGCATCATTCAAAAGAGGTGTTGATCCACCAAAAAAACGTGTTCATTAACCATAAATAATTTGCATTAATGGACAAAGGGGTTGTAATACAAGAGGTGAAAGAACGCAGGGGTCCGATTATGGTCAGAAAAGACTAAGAAAGAAAAGGAGGATAATCTGCAAGGCAACTATGTGTCACATTCGATCAAGAAGACGTGGTGCCCACAATCAAGTACATCGAAAGTTAACTTTTCAAAAATGGGTTGATAAAGGTGGCAGGGGCAAGACGAGAAAAAAGTTACTAACCTCGAGATTCCGTTCAAATACAACAAGAGAAAAATGGAAAAACAATAGCTGAATTGGAAGTCATTGTCAACAAATTCAAGAAACAAGCAAATGAACTTCGGATAATCCCTTTGATTGAGGATTTCAATGGAGTTTCCGATTCAGCAAAGGATGAAAGCTAGAGATGCAGTCATTCGATACTTTTGGGAACAAGTACAAAAAACAACTCGTCACTTGCACGGTTCAGCCAGAGAATCCGGAACGGTTCGACAGGGTATTCGACCGATGACAGGCGAAGGTAAAAGACTAGTCAACCTATTTCGGGGTCTAGAGGATTTAGTCTGGATATGCCTTTAAATATGTTTATTGTCTCTTAAAAGATAAAACACTTTTGTCCCAATAAAAATTATTTATAATAATGGACACGTTTCTAGATCAATGCCTCGAACATTTTATGCATTCTTGCATTCTACATTTTTGCATCTTCATTTCATTTTTAAGCATTTTCATAAACATGAAATTTCTTCATAGAGGATTCAATGAAGTGTTTTAACCACATAACACCACATGGAAGCAAGATTGTAACAATTAAAAAAACTGAAATCAGTACAGTGGGAGCCCGATCAGCTGGTTGTATGACTAATCCTGCCAGGATGATATGAGAAAAGAGTCTACATATCCTAAGGGTTACGATGTTGAAGCTATTTGCAGTTGTCACATAGGATGCTCCAAACATTCCTCTGAGAACTATAAGGCGTTGAAGCGCAAGATCCAAAACCTGATGGATTCAGGGGTATGAACAGCCGAAGAAGGGGGCATTGCATATACCATTTGCACCTAGATGATTGTTTTGTTTGAACACGTCTTTGATCTTTTGTTTAATCTTTTAAATGATTGAATTTACGCTACTTTCTAAAGTGGAGCAATTGAACAAATTTTAATCTTTAGTTCTTCGAATATTAAATGAATTAAGGATTCTTTTAATTCTTCAAGAATTATAGATTTTTGACATATGACAAGATTAGACCTTTCTTATCCTGTCTCAAACCCCAAAATAAAATACCTTGATTCTTTACCCAAAATAACTCATGGTCATTACCAAAAGACAAAATTTTAGCATTACCCCCCATTTGAAATTCTTGAACATTGCCTTTATCTTTTCGATACACCCATACCTTTCTTTGAGTCAATAAAGTCACACCATTGTCTTTTTAGACTCAAAATTGACTTTTTATACCATTAAAACCCAAGTCATTGAGTTGTTCATTTGAACATGAGCATTCTTCTAAGACACAACTTAGGGCATCTCGCCGGGAGCCTAAACATTGAGACATGTTGGGAGCAAGAAGTAGAAAAAATAATTCATTCGAAATAATTCTATCATGCATTAATTACACTGTTTTCATGTGAATAGAATTAATCCTGGAAATCTATCCCCCTGGGGATACCTCTTCTATGAGGACTTCCATGTATGAAATGATGAACGGCTTTCTTTCTTTATCCCTTCACAACAGGAGAAAATATATATCCATTGTGTCCCCTTTTGAGCCTATAGTATTTTTCTTCTGATTCAACCCTAACCAAGGATCACCCTCCACACTAGGGGGCAAGGTGGAGAAAATCTGCTCGCATGAGTGAAGACATTGATTCAGATGAGATACCGAAAGGTGAACCAAATGCCAAGTGCGAAGATTCAATCAGAACAAAAAGGGAAAAAAGAAAAAAAGAAAATAAGCAAAAAAGGAAAAAACAAAAGAAAAAAAAAAGAACAAAAATCAAAAGGAAAAAGGGACAAAAAGCACATGCAAAGATTCTCTAAAGACAAATGGCACATCAAGCTTCAAACTATAAGATTGAGCAAGCACAATCATTCCTGAATCACTGAATCACTTCACTCGAAGATCATAGAGCATCAAGAGAGAAATACATTTTGAGTAAGACAAGATTGAAGGCATCAGAATGAATTGATCGTTGGTTCAAAACCATGTAACACTTGTTTGGGCCTATTTATCCTTTTATTTGATAACCATGAGCCCCTGGCCTACATTACGTGCCTTAAAAGTCCCTTCTAATCATACATGGATTTTTAAACAGAAGAGACTATCTTCAGATTTCATCCCGCCCATCAGGATTAATCTTTATTTGCAAAAAACAATGTAATTAGTGCATGATAAAGAAATATAACAAATGGGGGTTCAAGACGTAAATTCTGAATGACGTCTTGAAACCAAATGAGGATTCGAGTTGAAAACCTGAAATGGCGGCTCAAATATAAAAATTGGACAGCTAAGGCGATCGCACAAAATCGCACAATCCAAGTGTGACCATGAAGGTTGGGAGTCGGAGAACACTTCCAGTAGAGGAGTATACAAGCTACCCCATCAAACCTTTGACCAAACACAATAACCTGAGACTTTTTTATCCTTTCCTTACTTAACCATTTCCCAAAGATAGCTTTGATCTTGGCACTTGTCAAATAGCTATAATTTATTGAAGGGTTAATATTGTAATTAATTCTTTGATATCCAATGAACTCTAGTTTTATGATTCGTCTTAATTGTAAAACCATGAAAGTGGCAACATTTTCAAAACTTCTGATTAAACATTTTTCGAAACTCTTTTAATTGATATTTTCATAACTTTGAAAATAAAAGAGAAAGAAAAACATTTTCAAACAAGACAGTCTCTCTAGAGTGGATCTTGGTAAATGACATGTGACTCTCAAACACAAAGCTCATGCTTAGAATCAATGATGAAGCAAGATATGAGGAACATTTGAGGCATCTTTGAAGATTCAACATCAAATATTGGGGCATTTTTGGATATTGGGGCATCTTTGGGGATTCAACATCCTAATGCGAATTATCATACATTTTTCAGGAGATAAAATATAACCAATTCATGTTACATGCATCTTATGCATACATTTACAGCGTCATATTTATCATTTTTTTTCTACATACATAATTTTTACAGCTTTTAGAGCCAAGTTTCGACTTCAAGACGAAGGATACTCGATTCAAAAGCACCTTTAAATATTGATGTTGGTTGCTTAACTCAGCAGCAAGAAGCTACACTTCAACCAACTCGACAGATTGAAAGATCGAAATTCATTTTCAGATTCAACATTTCCAATATAAATTTTGTCTCGCTTGAGACAGTCTCATTTAATGCAGATGATTATCTCACTTGAGATTGCTTTTCTTAAAACAGACTTTGTCTAACTTGAGACTGTTTTACTCGAAAGAAGATTTATTTCATTCAAAATTGTTTTTCTTAAAACAAGATTTTTCTTGCTTGAGACCGTTTTCACTAGAAAGAAGGCATTTCATTTCACTCAAGACTGTTTTTAAAGAAGATTTTATCTCGCTTGAGATAGTTTCCCTTGAAACAAATTTTGTCTCCCTTGAGACAGTTTCTCTTGAAACAT